GAGCAGCATTTTGCAATGGCTTAGCTTAACGCTGCCATTGCCAATCCAAAGCAAGCCGCCATGTCCCCTCCCCTCCCCCACCACTTGCTGTTTCCAGGTCAACTAGTGGCTTATCCTGTCCCGCGTTTAACTGTGGCTAAGTCAGCGCCAAAGAAGGAAAGGAAAATCAACGGAAATTGTCGGGCAGCCGGGCCCTGACCATCCATATACATGGCACAGGTAGCGGGGGCGACCACGCTTACACATATTTTATCTCATTTATTTCTGGTAATTTACTTTGATTCATCGATTTTGTAATATATACGTGGTGTGGGATTGGATGGCCAAACAGCCAGGGAAACACGAATTTATTACACTGACATTGAGGGTATTACAGCCTTTTTATGATATTCGGCTGGGGAGTGCCCCAAAGGTGAAAGAGAGAGAGACACTTTTTGCCCGAGTGGCAGGTGGCATCTCCACTATATACCTCAGTGGCAGCACAAAGTGGTGCCTGATCAGGTGGCACACCGAAGTGGTACAGTTGAGACGTCCTCCGACTGAAACCCAAGTTTGCAGCGCCGACATTGGATCACTTTAATGCCTGAATTCCTCTTAAATATTCTCCTTCGGGTGGCATCTCTGGTAAAAACCCAAGTGGCAACGCCAAACGGTACAGTTGAGTCGTCTTCCGACTGAAACCCAAGTTGGCAGCGCCGAAATTCGATCGCTTTGCTGATGGATGAGTGGTCAGGGTGGCAGTCCCTGCCTTCTAAAGGGTATTTCCGTTTCGTTTTTGCCGGCTTTCCCACATCCCATTCCCTGTATCGCAAGAGTACGAGACTCCATATATATATTATATTTTTTGGTGTATTTTATTTTGCCCTGGCCATGCATCAAAATGTTCCCTGCGCCCCCCCCCTTCCCGCCGTTCGGGTGTGTTTGTGTCGAAATCTGATTGAGTTATTGAGCCAAAATTTCATCGGGCTTCCATTTACGAGTAAATGCTCCTGTTGTTGTTGCTGGCTGCTCTTTTTCCAACAATTGTGCACATAACAATAATAATAATAATCGTATACTTTTATGTGGCAGATAGAAGCCTCGGACTCCGTAAAGATGTAGCACTGGATTAGGGTTTAATGCCTGCTCGGAGACCGGTCGGGTCGGGTCGGGTCGGGTTTGGGCCGTGAAAGGCTTTAACGCGATTTGTACATATTAATCATACGCCATGCTGCACTGAGCCGAATCAGCGCACAAATGCAGGGCACATCTGATGAGTAGAGCCAGAGGTTGCAGGATAAAAACTTATGACTCTCATTTGACAGAAAATAGGTGGCAGGCAATGAAATTGAAGTGCGGCTTAATAAATTAGTCTGGCCTAAAGGGGCTGTACAGGAGGTACAGGCACAGACAGACAGAAGGTGCAATGGAAATGTCTGCTGCTCAAGGACATTTCACTTATTGGATGCTCGAATCAATGACCAAATAACAACGGACGCCATTAACAAAAGCAAACACACACCCCTGCACAAGTGTATCCCTACATGTGTACATCCTGGCCCTCTGTGAAGGTAGAAACAATCGATGGACAGCAAACAGAGCAGGGTGGGCGGAGGATGGAGCACAGACACTGACAGACAGGACTCACTTGGCTGGCTGGGTGGCTGGCTGGGTGGCTCCCAAAGGGCAATTCATTGACAATTTGCTCAGGCGGACGATGGAAGTTTTTGGCACCTGATTGGGGCGATGGTTGTGGGGGGGGCGTGTGCGCCCCGGACAGTGTCCTGTCCCCCAGGACTCCAGTCCACGCCTCCAAGACATGTCATCTCTCCCCCATGATGGCATACTACATGTGTAGGAGTCGTCGCTCTTCAGCGACTGTTGGGTTTATTGTTTGCAATTTGTTTTTAGCTGCCCGAACAGAACTTTTGTTTTTATGGCTCAACCTGAGGCCACCTACAAACCAGGGGGCCCGGCACGCCCTTTGGCTAAAAATAAACCCAGAAGCCAGAAACCAGAAACCATCCAAGACGTGCTCTATTTATAGCCCCGAGCCGAGGCCTGGGTGCTTACCATATAGAGGCCCCAACTAACGGCCACGTCGCCAGCAAACTAATGCCGATTGTGGCAGAAATCGTGGCTGTTTCGCATTGACATTTAAGCTGCCACAAATTGCTTTTCTGTTGCGCCTATACTCCTTTGTTCCTGCCCCACACACCTCACACATGTTTTCCCTTCCCCAGCCCTTCGCTTCCCTCCTCTTTGCTTGCTTCTTGCTCTCCCCACCTTCAGCCGTGTTTCTATTTCTGTTTCTCTTTCGGTTTTGGGCACTCGTCTGTGTGCGGCTTATCGAACGCATTTACATAACGAAAAATGAAATTTTCAAATTATAACAAATTGAATTTCCCCTAAAAGAGGAAAAGGGAAAAAGGGACACGGCAGGGCTGTTGTTCGTTCTAAATATTGACATATGCCAGGGTTGCCAAACGGAATGTCTTAAGGGATTTACATGAGAGATATATTGGGATTCGAAAGAATTATAGTTTGATGGGAACATCTTTAAATTGGATTCCAGTCAATATTCCATTTGTTTGATTACAATTTGAGGGCTTTAAGAGCTTAAGATCTTTCACGCCTCCTTCCGATCGCCAGTTCATTTCCGAAGGAATGGACGTGAACCAGTGACCAGGCAGGCTGACAAATACAATTATACATCTATAGCCGAACATTATGTATCCTCTCTCCTGTTGAATAGTTGACAACGGAATTCTCTTCGAATCAGATTTTTGGTTGAATGGCTCGACAATCGCTGGCTGCTGTCTGCTGGCTGCTGTCTGCTGGCTGCTGTGCGAACCAGTTCCAATCGGATGCACTCTGCAGTCCTTGTACTCCAATCAGTCACCCACGCTACGTGTTCCAGCGCCCCGACATGTTTCGATGTTCCGTTCTGTTGTGCCACCAGTTCCTGCTGCTGCTCCTGCTCCTGCTCCTGCATTCTGTTGTGTTGTGTCTTCTGATCGGCAAACGGCATTTCTTTGCCATACCGTTCGACAGGCTCAACTTCCAGCTCCCAGCTCCGTGGAGCTCCTTCCGCCACTGCGTCTGCGAGTCCTGGCTGCGTGCTTTTTTCTGTATTTATGCGTTGATGTTTTACGTGCCCCAAATACCAATTGCCCCGAATACACGCCGTATGTGCGATGATTGTACGAGTAAAGTTTATATTGTGTAAATGCCGGGCAGAGGCAGACAGCATGGCACAAGGCAAAAGGGAGTGGGGGAAGGGGGCACACAGCCTGGCTCTTGCCAAAAAAGAAAAAAAAAAAGAGAACGAGAAATGCTGTATGTATGACCCTGGAAAAGGGGTAGCAGCAGCCCCCCCTCCCCGCCCACAGCAAATGAATTTATGTGGTTATTCTGTTTCTCTTCCTTTCTAAAAGGTATTCGATTTCATTCGTCAAATGCAGAGAATGAATTTAGTGTTCTGTGGCTTTGCTTTTCTCATTTCCCTTCTCCCATTTCCCTTCTCCCATTTCCCTTCCCCCATTTCCCTTTTCCCTTCTCCCTTCTCCCTTCTCCCTTCTGCCTTTTCCGTTTTCTGTTTTTTTGTTGTATCCTTTTTCATTGTTATTAAAGCATGGCACAATATTGACGCTACCTATTATCAAAAGCTTTTAGTGCAAAAATACAGCTGGAAATGGCATTTAGCTGGGTCCCAGGCCCGCATCCACATCCACATCCACATCCACATCCATGTCTACGTCCCTGCAGGGACAACTATGCCAACCGAAAGGAACAGTCAGCCCTTTGACAGTTGTGTCATTTGGAGCGTCGCTGCGTTGCACATTTCCATCTGTGTATTGTTGTGCCCCTCACAGCAACACTTGCTCTCTCCCGGCTTCTGGAGACCCCATTTGATGGTGGATGGTGGGTGGTGGCTGGTGGTTGGTCAACGCAGTACTATCTGCCTTCCAGCATTGAGCTTTTCCATTCGTTCTCCCTTTGGCGTATGCAATTGCCTAGACGGGACAGGCAGGACGACCAACAGCATCCACGACAACAACGAACGGCATTGTGCGACGTGCGTTTTGTAGTTTGTGGCATCCTGGCCATGGCTCTTACTGTGGCTTTGATTTGACTTTCAGTTTGCCAATTCGAGAATGTTTTTGCACATGGAAGTGCACAAGCCTTAAATCCCACATTCAGACAGCAGCTCCAAAAGGATCGGCTTCATTTTTTTTGTTAGTTTTGAAAGGACATGAACAGATTTAAGTTGAGAATTAATTCATAAGGAAACAATCTAAGTTGGCTCAATCCAAAGAGGCCAGCTTTTGGCATTAAATCATCTCTTCGCCCGTCTCTTTTTAGAGATTTTTCGAAAGGCAAGGCAATTAATGGCCTAAAAAACGTACGCCAACTGGTTCTGGCTCTGATTCTGGCTCTGATTCTGGTTCGGGTTCGGGGAGTCGTGCACTTCTAATTTACTTTATTTTTTGTCGGACTTGAGTGCGTGAAATCAACTAACGGAAACGGATACTCATGCAGCCAGAGCGGAAATGTAACGGTGCCTCGAGACGGTGCCCAACCAACAAAAAAGGGACCCAAATCAACACCCACGAATCCAGGCGCAGACAGGGTCGTGTCGTGTCGGGGGGAGCGAAGGGGCGGGAGCAAACATTTCTAGCATTAAATTTATGTACATGTCATTTGGGGGAGGGCGTCGTATACGTAACGTTGGCTAGAGGGCATTTCCTTCTCCCTTTTCCACCTTTTCCTCCTCCTTTTTTTTTTGGTGTGTGTTTTCGTGGCTATAAAGTGCTGGGCCATGCCCTGCTTGCTCTACCTGTGTTCCGGCCCGAAATTGAATGGCATTGCTTAAAAATATATATTTGTTGGCTCTGGCTGCCGCTGCCGCTGTCGCTGCCTTAAATCCACACAAATTAAGCCCTAAATTAGAAAGCCATCACTCGAAGTAATTGCCGGGCCGATTCTTATGGTTTATATCCTTGGTTTTATCTTTGCAGTCGCAGCATTAGAGGACGTGCCGGGCATGCCGAACGGGCCCTTAGTCCTTAGCCCCGAGTCCCCAGTTTCAGGCCACAGTCTTAGCCACATCCACATCCCCGTCCCCATCCGTAGTCGCAGCATCGGCAACATCGGCAGCAGGAGCCGGAACATGATGTAGGATACCGAGGAGGGACAACGTTCTTGTTGATGATGCGCCATTGCCATCGACTTGTCTGCCCCTTTGGTATGTGCTTTAAAATTTCATTTTTATTCCCTTTTATTCCCTTTTTTTCATTTCACCAGCCAGTGCATTGTCCCATATGAAACTTTAATTTATGTTTGCATAATTCCGAAGGTGTCTGTGCGGCAAAATGTTCGTTAAACAGGAGGCCGTCGAGGCTGCCACACATGCCCCCAGGAATGTGTCCGTTTTGTCAAATGCTTTTTCTGTTTGAAATTCGGGTGGCAGACGTGTCGCCTGGGATGTGATCCAATGAGAGTAGACTGAGCCAGATCGCAGGGGAGGCCATGTGGGGGGGGGTCTGACAGTGACACCAATTATGCATAATTTTCGTGGCAGCCCCTGGCCGGAAGGAGCGAAAGCGAACAACAACTACCATAACAATATAAAACTTTATTAATCCTGCATAACGCTTTCAGTCTACGCAGATAATAAACAGGAAGGATATTTTTATTATTATTGCTCTACGCGAACGGTCAGGGAAAATGGGGGCCCAGCAATGTGCTAGAATTATTTCATCAGTGAAATTGGGGGATGCGGAAGGATAACATGTGGTAATTCGATCGATGTCATCGATGGTTTCCCAGAGACCTCCAGCCCCTTGGTTTCCCATCGAAACTTCGCAAAATCAATGCGAAAATTCGGCTGGGTTTTATTCCATTCCATTTCGTTGCTCCTTTGTGGCCCCTTGTATGCTGTTATTATTTGCCACGCCCACAAACAAGCCAAAACATGCACCACAGCAACGCCCAGCCCAGGCGAGAGTCGTTGCTCATCATCTGCTCATCCTCGTCCTCCTGCTCGTCCCTCAGAGTCTTGTATGATAATTCCTTTCGTTTCTGTGGTGCCCCCGGACTGACCGCAGTTTTAATGCCTTTTTCATTGTCTTTTCATCGTCAACGCCGTCGCAAATGTCGGGCCTCATGTCTGGTCACGCCCTTGGTGGTCCCTCTCGGTCTGTCCACATCCTTGCCCGTGCCCAGAGCCTGTTCCCTTTGCATACCCTCTCGCTGGGTCTGTGGGGCCACTAGAGTGGCTCCGGCAAATTGACGTCATGTCATCAATCAATCCCGCTGCAGAGCTTGGGGCCGCCACACGCCAACGCATCATCACGGTTTTTCCTTTCTGTGAAATTTCCCTTTCACTTAAGCTTTAATCTTAGTTTTTAAATTTCACTTTTGGACACTTTTTCCCCATTTAGAATATCCCCATTTTCATTACGCAAAGGCGCCAATGAATGGCGGCCTTTAGCTGCAGTTTGATTTATGATTTTTTAATGAGCGAACCGCTGGTCCAGGCTGCTTTTTGGATGTCCTTTGTCTGTTCGAGAGGGCCAGCAGCAGCTCAGGCGTGAAACCAGGCGACGAAGGGTTCAAGGCCATTGCATTGACCTTTTTCGCTATAAATATTCAAAGAGCGTACAGACAGCGAGAGAGAGACGACAGCCCGTGTACTTGTACATTGTACAATAAATAGAAAATAGCAAACGAATGGCGTTCGGGTGGTGTTAAATTTTAATTGTGTCGCAGGACACAGCCCATAGCCCTCCGTCCTTCGTCCTTCGTCCTTCGTCCTGCGTATGCGTTAAACATGTGACCAGGAGAAATTGTCGCAGCTAATTTCCCTTTTAGCCCCGGCTCCGTTGCCTTCTGCCTTCTGCCATCCCGCTGCCTGTTTTCCTGTGCTGCGCTGTTTTATTGCTCGGTTATTTTAATTAAAAACTTTGCTCAGCCGACAGTACCAATTGCTATCCTTCCTCCCTTCCTCTACATGGCATCCCTTTCCTCTTCTTGGCCACGGCTTTGGGCTTGGGCTTGGGCTTGGGCTTTGGCTCAAAGTTTTGCGCGCATTTTGGCCGCCTCGAGGCAGCGTGTGGCATGCAGACAACAAGCCTGTCGAGACAAGAGCTACTTTGTGCGCAAGTATCTTTGTCCTTTGTCCCGGGCCCCCCTTCCCCCTTCCCAGAGATTTTTGCTATTTTTATGCCGCTAAGCTGCCATTAAAGCCATATGCAAAATATGGCCATGTCTGCCATCTTTTGTCTTCTGCCGTTCCGCTCTTTTCTCTTCTGTTGTTCTCTGTTTTGTGTGTGTTTTTTATTTGCTTACTGCTTGCTCTCTTATGTCACCTTGTTGATGATGTTGACGGTATTCGGAAACAAAGCGGCGCAAAGCGAAAGTCCTAATCCCGCTTAACGTTCTGTCGACAACATCTCTGGGGGCAGCCATCAGACGCCCCCGCCAACACATCACTCAGCCACTCGTCACACGAAAAACACGGCTAATATTATCTATAAAAAAGAAGCGGCTTACAGCGGAAGAGGTCCTGGGGGCGGGAGTGGGGGCGGGGGCGGCGGCTCCTTTTGTCAACAAAAGTCTGTCTGAAAGTTCAGGTAAAATATAATCGAAAAATCAAGAGATAAATTGATTGGAAAACGGATATAGAGAGAGAGGAACAAAAGTTGAACAACAATTTCGGAAATATTTAACCAAACCAATTAAATATTAAACTTTCAAACTATGCCCATAATTGGCCAACAGAATGTTTGGAAATTGCCAGGCATCCTGGAAATTTCCGGTGCCCCTCTGCCACTGGCACTGCCACTGCCACTGCCGCATTTTGCATGGCCCGTCGGCACTTTTTTAATTACCGAGCGTTTAAGCAAACAAAAGCGCGGAAAATGCAGTACACAAAAAAAATGCATGTTCCCGGCAAAACGCGCAGCGGGGGGAGGGGCAGGGGGAGGCTGTATACGAAAATGAATGCATGAGCGGGCAACACGGCGTATGCGTGTTTTGTGTGCAAACCGCCCGCCCCCCGCCCCCGCACCTGCCATAAATAAGCTGTGTGAAGCGCCTATAATTGTGGACCTTTGCGAATAAGCGCAGGAGAGCGCAAGGGAAAGGGAAAGTGAAAGGGGGGGGGGGACACCTGGCATTGGCTGCCAAAAACAAAAACGAATAAAAGGCCAATGGCAATGACGTCCCAGTGTGGCCACCAACAAGAAAAGAACAGAGAGAGAGCGACAGAAAGAGAAAGAGAACAGAAGCTGAAAAGCAATTTTTATGATGGCCTTTTGCTAACCCAGTAAAAATGAACTTAAAGCCAAGTCAACGAGCTGGAAACGTTGAACGTCTGGCAAGACCATAACCCTTCCTCACCTTTCACCCACTCTCTATCTCTCTCTCTCTCTCTCTCTCTCTGTCTGTCCCTCCTATTTGTCGCTGTCTGTCCGTGTCCCTATCTGCCGCTCTTAATGCCCCATTGCGAGTACATTTTGTGCATTGAGCCGTTCTGGATTTGCTTGTAATTTGCAACAATGTGGCGCTGTTAAAGCTGCTGCTGCTACTGCTGCTGCTGCGTCTGCTGCAAGGAGATGTCTTCGTTCGTCTTGGCTCCAGCTTTTGTTGTTTGACATGTCAGAGGCAAACAAAGCGTCCCTCGACGCACAGACACACAGCGCACACATGAGGGAGTCCATGCTCCAGAATCCACAATCGAATGGGGTACGGGGCATAGGAAGGATATGCCATCCTCTGGCTTTGATTGGCGTCAAAAAACGCATCAAAGCGAAGAAGAACCTGTGGGTGAGCGCAAGGTGACTTTCAAGTTCAGTGGGCACCCAGCTCCTGGAAGGAGGAGAAGCTCTCAAGGAAAAACTTGTATACCCCGTTCATGCATTAATTAACAGCATAAAGAGTTTATCGAAAGTTTACAAGCCCAAACCCACACTTTAGACGAAATTTGGGCCATCCGAGCCGGTCCTAACCATCGATTTTGAATGGGCGAAGCGTGCTCGGAATTTGTAATTAATGCTGCAACCGGATCCTGCTTCAGGGACCAGTGGCTGGTGTGCCACTTTGGAATTGTTGCAATGTCAAAGGCAACAATTAAATATTGGCTCTCGATGCTGTACTGCGGCTCCTCTTCCACTCTCCCGCCCACCCACTCTCCCGCTCTGCGGTCTAGCCACACTTGACAATTAGGCGACATAGAACACTCCAACAGTAGCATTAATTATGCACGCTTCTCGCTCTCGCTCTCACTCTCACTCTCTCTCTGTGCGTGTGTCTGTTGGGGTAGTGCGTAGTGCTGACACGCCTCCAATTTCCGGGGCGAGACACACGCGTATTCCTCCTCATTTGCCAAAACACACATTTTTGTCCTCGCCGCAAATACATTAAACAGCCGGATCCCATGTCCTTTGAGTGGATGATTTGAGAGTAGATATTCGAGCCATGGGATGCCTTCAAGGGTCTCCACCGAACACTGCCTGTTCTCGTAATTAGGCATCCCGGCTACGCCTCACATGGCGTATACGTAATTTGATAGTTTTAATTGGACATTCCACAGAGACATAGTCGGAAAATGAAGGCACGGAGCGGGGCGACTGCCTTTCATATGGAAATTTTGATTGAAATGCCAGGCAATATTTAATTAGATCTTAAGCCGAGCCACAGAAAACACACACCTTGTCGCTCAAAGTTTTGCCTTAAACTTTTCGCAAAAGTTGTAAGAGCTCCGCTCAGCCTTTTCTCAACTCTCTGCTGCGTTGCTAATTAAAAGAAAAATTCCCTAAAGGGGGACCCCGGACCCTGGACCCTCCTCGGCCCTGGGAAACGTTGCTTTTACTGGCAATTAATCAATACGGGATTTGTTGGAGCCTTGAGTGCATTGAGTGCACAGTTTTTGGAGCTCCTCCCCCCCTCTCTCCGCCCTCTTTGCTGCTCGCTGCCTGCCTTTGTAATTAATAGCCGATGAGACGGCTGCAGACGGGCCGGATAATTGAATTTGTGTTGCATTTGCCCGAAAATTGCGTGTGTGTGGCCCTGTTTGGTCCTTAACAAATTAAGCAATTTACCCGACAGGCGGGCTGGCAGGTTAGCAGGCTGGCAGGCTGGCAGCCAGGTGACCCTTTCCTGTGGAGCATTTATCAAAGGCAAGACAGTCCGGTCCTTGGGCTTCCGGTTCGGCACTTTTGCATGCTCGGGCCACATTACTCATGGCCTCCTTGGCCACCTCATTGTGTATGGGCCTCCCAGGGTACATGGTACAAGTCGTATCTGCTGTTGCTGCTGCAGCTAGTGCTGTTTGTCCAGCTCCAGCATCTTGTAGTGGCCCACACAAAAGGCTCTGGTTTATTGCATTTGACAGTGGACAGTGGACAGCATAGTATGTGGGAGTCCTTGTCCTTCTGATTCTGCTGCTGGTTCTGCTTCTGCTTCTTCTCGGGCTACATGCTGACTACAAATTGCCAAGGCAAACAAAGAGCTTGCTGAATGAAAGTGTGGAAAGTGATGCATATGCTGCAGTCTGGTGATTTATGATGATGATGATGCCAATGCTGATGATGCGGAAAAACGAGAAGCTCAACGAGTGGGTGGCTCCCATTCCTGCAGTGTACATGGGTTTCTCTCTTTCTCCGTCTCTTTCTCTTTGAGAAGTGCAAGGGTTTTTTTTTCTGCATCGTGTTTCAGGCAATTCACGCTCATTTCATCAACTATCCGTTGCCATGGATGCCCCTCACCCCCCTCCCACCAAGCCCGTACTTTACTGGATGTTTGACTGGTAATCTAGCAGCGTTTCCTGTTCCATTGCGAGGATTATGACCGCCACAGGATACTGGACAACGCGGCAGTGCCATTATCCTATGGCTGGTGGCAATTAAATTCCATTTTCCTCATAATTGTTGCACAGCTTAGAATCAGGCTCCGGTTCTGTTCGCCGTGTCTCTTTTCCTCCCCCTCTCCCCCGCTTCCCGGCCGCTCGTGCATGAAGTAATTTATGCTTTTGCCACGCCCACACACGACTAAGCAAGACATTTGAATGGCGCACATTTGTTTGGCTCACGGTTTTTCCTGCTCTGCCCTGCCCAGCCCCCACATTTGCCTTTTGAGATGTCGAATCCGGCGTATCTGCCACAATGTAAATGAGGTTTTTTTTTCCCCCGCTCCCCTGCTCCCCTGCACACCCCCCCTGATCTTTAAAGCCACATATCATGTGGGGGACAGGACAGGACCGGGCAGGACCGGGCAGGACCGGGCAGGACAGGAGTGAAAATAAATTTTATGCCACAGCATGCGTTGCCGTTTGTTGTTGAGCAGCTGCTTTGTCATTTTCACGTACTACCCTTAACCCCAGTCGCAGGTCTTTTTCCCCCAACACCCACCAGTGCTCCCGCTTTTGACTGGCGGGGGTGGGGGGGGGGGGGGGGAGCGCCAACCGCATTCATCTGCTGGTTGCCTTGGAGAAGCTTGGCTTGGCGGAAAAAAATGACATAAAGCGACATAATAATTTCGCCTTTGAAATTGCCTTACAATTGCTTCTTTTTTTCTCCCCCAGCTCGCGCGTGTGCATTTGTGCGTGTGTGTGAGGGTTTGGGGGGGGGGGATTCCTTTCCTTTGTGGGATTTATGCCCCAGACCTGTTCATATTTAGCGGTGGCTTTGTGATTCCCTCAAGAGTAAAGGGTATATAGTACTGATGTGGGCAGGATATGCATATGAATACACATCAAAGCATCGTCCAAGGGTTTATTAGAACAGAACACTCAGAGTATACGTTATTCGTATTATGGCTGGTAGTAGTACCCTTCCGGTAAGCGTATCTCAACTTCCACTGACTGAATCCGCGAAATTCTGTTTTCAATTTTCAATTTTCCCTCTTCTATTTGGTTTTCGCAACTTTTTCCACCGCAAGATTGTTGGCACAGGTGGGTGGGCCTTATGAAATGAAATGCTTTTCAATTATGTGTATGTGTGTGTGTGTGTGTGTGTGCTAACCAAATCAAGTCACAGAATGTGTCTAGAATTGACTGGAATGCGGCAAAAACCAACAGCAGGCTGGCAGGCTGGCAGGCAGGCAGGAAGAAACCCTCATCTCTCTGTTTGGACAGAAAAAGATAATTATGGACGGAGAAAGGCAAAGAGAGAGCGCAACATTGTGACAGTTCCCCCAGCAGTATATTCCGGAAGTCACATTAGTGCAATCCACATTTAATTTAGTCCTTTCCGCCCCAACACCCACTCGAGCGCAAACTTTTGTCTATAAGGGTTGCTGTCAGCACACTCATCCTCGTGCACAAAACTCCGGCGCACACATGTCGTATACGCAATCATTAATAAAAACTAAATAGATTGAAGGAACAACGACTCGGTTTGGCCCCTTCTTTATGGCATACATTAGTACTACCCCCAATGGGGGCTTGGCTTGGCTTGGCGTGGCTTGGCTTGGCTAGTGACTAATTAATCTTAATTAAAGTCTAAGTTGGCTTCGCTTACTCTTTTATCCACTCCCCCTTCCCATATGGTGTGGGCTGGGGCTGGGGGTGGGGGGACAGCTGTTGCTATTGCCATCGTTTCCATTTCATTTAATTGCGATACATTTGTCTGTCGCCTAATGGCAATTTTACGTGCACCATATAAATCAACTTTTGTGCCCCGGTTGATTTATTTTTAGCATTTTGGAAAGCACAAAAACGGCAGCAAATCAGAGCTCGAAAGAAGAAGCAAGCCGCGAGGGTCAAGGCTATTGGATACCCTCCTTATATACTCTATGAAGTAGAAAAAAGGATCTAGGTCTAGTTTTTATAGAACTTACAGGAGCACATTCCTTCGATAATAATCTGCCTTCCCTATTCTGCTTTTCCATCATTACTGTTCAAAATCATTATACCCCTTGTAGGGAGGGGTAGGGGAAATCAAAACCAAACAACGCGCCACCACACGGACAAAGAGATAACAAAAATGGTTTGCAAATTATTTTCAGAGTCCGCTAATTATGGCACCAGCACAAGCGGAATAACATTCGGAAGCCAGAAAGGGAGAGGCTCCGGGGGTCATGCATGAACGAGCTGATTACACACAAACACACTGGCTTACAAATGGCAATCATTGCTGTTCTTCGTTGTGTTTTTGTTGCTGCCGCTGCTGCTGCTGCTGCTGCTGCTGGCTTCCAACTGTTTGCCAAACTGTAGTTCCCACTGGGCATTACTGGGCTCTGGTCCAGCAGTAAAATCCACTGCGAATGCTGCTGGTGCGTCACTCCCACGCATGCTTTTATTGCATTTAAAGCCACTCCACGCACACAGAGAGAGGAAAAGCACAACAGAATACATTGCATCGTCCACGAGTGCGCTTAATTACACTCTTCTACATGGAATTTTGGGCTGAAAGTCTCCCCGAATCAACTCGTGTTCGCAGGCTGAAATTGGTTGAAATTGTTCTGTGGTCTTCTGTGGTATTTACATCACTAAATCGACAACAATTCAATTTAATAAATATTTTATCAATGATCTTTGCCATGCGGTCTTTGGGGACCCGTTATTTGAGGCTCTCTTGCGTTTACGCTCTCTTCTTGAAACTCCTGCCATCTCGCTCTTTTCCTTTTGATCAAACCCTCTGCTGTATGCACGCTCTCACGCCACTCTCTCACATTTACTCTCTTTACTTTTGCTGTACTATTCTTTGCCGCCTCTCTCTGACGCTCACGCTCTCTGTCTGTAAATAATCTAGTGCCATTTCATTCCTTTGCTTTGATCGAAGCTGCTGCCATCTGCTTGCACTCTCCTTCTGTTCCCCACCCATACGAGTGCACCCCTCTCCCACCAGTCTCTCACATTTACTCTCTGGATTCTCGATTCTTTTACTTCTGTGGAGTGGAGTGTGGATTGTGGAGTGTGTCCGCTTCCAGCCACGTTTTCATGGTGAAATCGTGAATGAACTGTTTAGCCCAGTAAGCCAGTCACGTTCTGGCCAAAATGGCCAAAAAAGCAGTACCAAGCGGCGTTCAATTTGCAATTTCATTTTGGCCCAAACCATTTGCTCATCCATAAATGAGGGCCCAAACCGACAAACTAATTAATTAACTATTTTTGTGCTTGCTGCTGCGTTTATTTTTGGTCGTATAATTATTGTTATTAGTATTTTCTGGTGGCCAAAACCAGAGCTGAAATGGCAGCTAATTTACGACCCGTTCAAGGCAGGCAGGTGCTGCTGTGTGTTGGTCCAATTATTCATGCAGATCGATTAGCCGTGAACCCCCAAAATGGCTCATTAGGCCACCGGCTGATTAGACGGTAATTGGGTGAGAGAGAGAGATAGCTAGAGAGAGTGTCTGGTGCGGAGGCGCAACTTCAAAAGAAATTCAATTAAGAGCCGCCGCCGACAAGTGAGCAAAACGCTTCACCAATCAATCGAAGGCTCCGACAATGATTCACTTCATTCACTCCGCTCCACACTCCACTCCACACTCCACTCCACACTCCACTCAATCGATAGATCCTAAGAATCGATAGACTCGACAAAAGCCTAAATGCAATCGCCTTTCCCTTTCCCCCCGTATTTGCACAGGCTTTGGCTGTGAAAAAAGCTCCTTTAAGCCAACGAAAATGCTGACGTTTCGAATCGAAGACAAATAGACAGCCAGGCGACTGACAGAAGCTGGCCAGGGAGGTGGTCTGCAGGTCTGCAGTGGCTAAAAAAGTTGGCTTAATTAAGTTTTTTTTTGTTTTTTCTGTTTTGGTGTTCATTCAGTAAAAGTGCTTCCCCTGAAAAGTATGCTACGTGGACGGGCCAAGGGAATGCTGTCTGGGGCAACCCACGGAGAAAATCGTTCCCATCTCTTAGCCCGTCCGCCTTTGGTCTATTCTAATTGCTTTTAATCTGAACACGAAAATATTTATGAGCGCCGTATATCCGTATTTAGAGCGGTCTTAAGCCCCGGCAGGAATTCACTTATTGCCAAAAATAACACAGCACACAAATCTCAGACGAATGATAGCAGAAGTTCCACCTTAAGTAAACATTTAATTTCTTCCTTCCAGAGCCTACGAGAGCTGCCACCAGAGAGGGAGGAGAGCCAGAGCCAGAGCCAGAGCCTGCTGCCTAGGCCCCGAATCGGACCAATTTATAATTGTGAATCATAACGACGCCAGATACAGATACAGATACAGATACACAAGCAGTGCCATTGCCATTGCCAGGGCTAGAGCCAGAGCCAGGGAAAGAGCCAAGGCTTTGCATACGCAGAAAGTTTCCAAGTGATTAATTTCACAAAGGGATTCGACAGAAGCAGGAGCAGGAGCAGGAGAAGGAGCAGCAGCAGCAGGAGCAGGAGCAGCAACTTAAGCCAATTACGCAAGTGATAAGAACGAAATAAAGCAAGGGCCGGGGCAGGGGCAGCGCCAGATGCCGCCATGAGTTTCCTCAGCTCTATGCAGCAGTATGTAACAAGTGGCATCTCGAGCCTGGGACTCGGCAATCGACGCTTCTCCCTCTCCCGCCAGGAGTCCAGCGAGCAGCAGTCGGGCGGCGTTGGCGGCGTCCCACCTGGTGGCATCGCTGCCGCTACACCTCAGCCACCGTTTGCCCCGCAGCAGCAGCTGCAACAACAGCCGCTGCCACTGCCGTTGCCACTTCAACAGCAGCAGCAGCAGCAACAATTGCTGCTGCAGCAGCAGCAGCAGCAGCCGCCACACGGCCACCCACCGCTTCAGCAACAGACGAGCATTGGCAGTGGCCTGGGCATAGGACTAGGTGCAGCTGCCGTTTATGGGGCACCGGCCACACCCATCGCAGGAGTGGGAGCCACAGCGAGCGGCAGCAATTATCCATCCGGCGGCGTGGTAATCGGCAACCCGAATGCCACAAATCCATTGCTGGGTGAGTTTTTCCTGGAACATGGTACAGATCGAGGGTCCGAGGGTAAAGCGCTGGCAGCAGTGCCAGCTTATTGAGGTTCTAATGGTGATTCCGAGAATCCTCAATTGTAGAACTGCGATTCATTCCGGTGGTCCATAGAAACAGGAGGTTGAATTTCAATCCCCAAGTGCAAACTAGGATATAAATCGCTCTAAAGAAACTACAATTCATCGGAAAGCAAAGCTTACGTTTACTTGTACTTTTACTTTTACCTTTGCTTCCCACATTCCCACATTCACTTTTCCATCAGATGCCAAAACTTTGCGGTCTATAAACCCCCAGAACACACATAAGAACAATCTCTCTGTGCGTTCGAGGCTGTGTGAGGACCCCCGAAATGGCAGAACATGGAAAAGTTTATTGAATCCGCCAGGCGTTATCGAGTCGCAATATGAAAATTACATTACATACTCGTATCTTGGGCGGGGACAGGCACCAAATGCGACCAAAGTTTCGCTTTCGCAAATGTTTGGCCACGCCATCGCGTATATATGGGCATCCACAAATGTACAGACAAATCCGCAGCTCCAGGCTGGAGCAGTGGAATGCCAGGGACCAGGATGCTGCTGGTGCTGATGCTGGTGGAGCGAAAGCAATCAACATGCATATGTGACTTCTTGTGCGGCTTCTTGTTGGCTATGCAAAACTTGTTTGCTAACCTAAACGATGTTCGGTTTGTTGTTTCTGTCGCAGTTGGCAAATGCAAACACATTTCAATGCCAAGACAAAGAGCCAGGGAGGCGGCGTGCCGGAGCGCCGGAGCGCCGGAGTGCCGAGCGAGTACTGGCGTGTCCTGGCCACAAAAACCGCCGACTGCGAAACTATCCAGGCGTCGACACCCACATGGACTTGGCGGCACTGGCATTTGCTTGAGTTTTGATTCAGTGGCGTCTCTATAGCATTTGAATCAAAATTGAAATTGGCTTATCTTGTTGCACGAGCCACGAACGGGCGGTTTGTCTTGGCCAGAAAACAACTGGCGACGGGGGCGGCGGGGGCGGCGGGTTCGGGGCGGTAAATCTCCATCGAAAGCCATCAGCGTGTAAGCGCATTTGCTGGCTGTCCATACGGGTACGTGGGGGTTGGGTGGGTATCCGTGTGGGTTTTTAGCAGCTCTTTGGATTCCAGTCCAGTCCAACTTTCAGTTTTGAACAGTTTTTTGCGAATACAGCAGGCGGAATCCCTAGCCTTGCCCAAAAAAAGCTTTCTTGCCGAAGCCGCAGAAATGGTTTGTACCCATCCTAGTACCCTAGTTCTAAGTAGGGCTTCCACTGCCATTGTCCTTGTGGGGGAACCAGCTAGAGGACTGTGTACAGGACCCTGAGTATGAGTGGGAGTCGCCGCAGCAGCCGCACAGATGCATGTCAAGGTTGCGGTTGCAGTGCCGTTTGCCGTTTGCCTTGAGCATCGCCTTCACGCCGCATGGACCGCACCACACCGCACTGCACTGCACTGCACATTGACTTTGACTGGGGCTCGTTTCCCATTTGACTTTCGTGCCACACGGCCACAAAATTTGCATGTGTCGGGAGTTGTGGGGCTGGGCTTCCAATGCTTTCGAAACTAATCTTTTGCCCAACTCAAAGCCTCTCCTCTCGTTCTCCTTTGCAGGCTATCCCAAAACTGGAGCTGGTTGCAGCTCCACATCCGCTTCCGGCAGCGGCGGCACACCCCAGTCCCGTCGCCAATCGCGCGCCCTGGAATGCCTCGCCCCGCCGCGCACCGGCTCGTTCCGGCAACGCAACTCGCCGCTGCACCAAGTGGATCCGCCGCCACGCCCACCGTTGGCCTTCTGCAAGCGTCGCCTGAGCTGGCCCGAGGTGGACCCACGCTCGAATTCCGGGTAAGTCCGAACTCATCCAAAGGGATGCCAGCCGATGGGCACTCCTAATGCATAGCTGATGTGCGAGAAGCGCTGAGATCCAGCGCCCTAGAATGGATTTTCGAAATTAAATGTCTGTCTGAACGGGGGCCGGAACGGGAACGGGCCTAAGTCCCGTCCGGGTCGTGTTTACCGGCGGTAATTAACCTTTGGATAGAAATGTTAATATTTCGCCCAGCTTGCCGCCAGATATTTACCCAGGCATGCACACACACAGAGGTATTCGAATGTGAAATGCATAAATTAAACAGGAAGAGAGGGCAAGTGAGTGAATATATAGAGAGAGAGAATGGGAGTGAGAGGGAGACAGAGGAGCGAAGGATAATGAGCGTCTTTAGGGATTTGAGGTCTGCTTTTGGGCCCATAAATAAGCAGTATGGCAGGCAGCTAGCCCAAAGGAAAGGGCACACGGCACAGGTTAGAGGGTAGAGGGTAGAGGGTACGGGGTGCAGGTACAGTGCGACTCAATGGAAATCTAAAATGAATTATTTACCAATTAATTAATGTACTTCAATTTCAGTTGTGTTCTCGATTTGTTTTTTCGAATGCCCAAAAGAAAACTTTACCGCTCTCGACCTTCATAATTATGTAATTAGAAAAGTTCTCTGAGTTTTCCCGACGAAACTTTCGCACCCACCTACTAGGAGGAGGGATGCTGCTTCTGCTGCTGCTGCTGGCCTGGCAACTTCCTTCGAATGCGGGCCAAACCTTTGAGTGTAGAAAAGTTTTCGCCCATAACCTACATGTAGACCCCGACCCCCCGCCGAAAATCCACTCCTTCCCACATAGAGAGGGTAGGGTGTCTTGTTCTTGAGCTTGTTTAAGGCTGGTGTGCTGGGGTTGGGCACTCTGATTGCTCTTAACGAGCCAGAGGGTCCTCCCAGCCCAGGTGCAACATCCTCGAGAGCCAGCCATCGCAGCAGCTGCAGCATCTTTGTGGCACACAAAGCGAACGGAGCGCCATCCACTTTGCATAATACCGCATCTGCTTAACCCGAGAATGTGCGCATAATGTGAGTTCGGATCACAGGTTACATTTAATTAAGCCCGAAATGAGATTTTCGGCGGAGGAAAAGCGACCCGCCTGATGATGGCTTCAAGAAATATGTGTTTTCTGATGATCGGGCAAAGGGGGGGGCATTCATTAGTCAAGCTAGCAGCCCTCCTCCTCCTTCGAGCACTCCTCAAGCTCCTCCTGATAAAGAGTTTTTACAGACAGATTTGTTTTCCTTCATTAACGACGCCATCGATTGCCTTGCTGCCGGACTGGCAACTTGCTTTGTTTGGTGTCCGCTGGCCAGAGTTGCCACACACAGGCAAAATTAGTATCTAACCGCACATTTTTCTGGTTAATTTGTCAGTGAAAGCCAAACAATTACTCGGCTTATTAATATCCAATTGATTCGCAAATTCTCATATTTCATGCATCAAGTGTTAATTGGAGCGAAATTAGTTTGTCACCGCATCCATTAGAATGCAGCGAAAAGAAGCCATTTACCCAACGAAAATTCAATTCAATTAAATATTATGCACACGCAAAAAATTAATTCATCATAGCACAATTTATTCATCAGCAATTTAAGTGCATTTTCTGCAAAAGTTAACGGCAAAATAATAAATAATTAGTGTCAAAGTTTGGGTTCGCACAAAACTTTTTCACCTCGACAAATGATTTTATTTTCTTTTTTTACCTGCAAGTTAAATATAAAATAAATATTTGCGACAAAATAAATAGAAAAGAAAATACACACAAAAAAACTTTCACTACGAAACGTTTTTAGGGTCCCGGTCCCGGTCCCGGTCCCTGTCCCACAAAAAATACAATCCACAAAAAATTGTGGAGAAAAATCCTAAACCCAAAAAAATTTAAACCGAAAATTGAGTGTCTCTGGAAGCGACGAAATCACAAAGCAAACCAAAGGCAGTGACGAAGGAAAATAAAACAGCAAAATAAACAACTGCGCGGCAAAAGTTTGAAATGAAATTTTTTCACAAAAACTTTTCGTAGAGACGGTGGGAAGGGGGGGGGGGGCGACAGCGTACCGGGTGCGGTACAACTTAAAACAATGCAGTTAGTGTCCTGGACAGTGTCTGCCCAGTGTACCCTATCATTAACGGCAATTACGTTGACCATTTTCACACGCCCCACCCACACGTAGCCAGGGCCAGGGCCAGAGCCAGAGCCAGAGTCGGGCGTCAGAGAAGTGCCCACAAAAAGTGTTGCCTATATTTCAGGGCGCCGACAGAAAGTGTTGCCTACTGCGAGGAGTCATCGCCTGGGATTATTTTTGTTTTTTTGTTGTATTTTTTTTTGCCCCATAAAAGTAACGTAAACGTAAAAAATCATCAACGCCGGCGACAAAGTTAAGCCGCTTAGCTGTTTCCCGTGCTGAGTGCGCAAAGTTTTGCTCAACTTTTCCCTGCCACATCTGCTCGGATAGGGGATTTGCCCCACAGATGGTACGGCCTGGCAGTATGTCTGCTGTGTGTGTGTGTGGGTGAGGCATGCAAATCAAATGATTAGGTTGAGCATCCCAGCTATCGTGTCTAGGCCTAGTTGGGACCCTCCCGCCTGCCTGGGCCCCACCCACTCGCACTCGCCCTCGCACTGAAACTTTCAATCAAATATGCAAACTTCTGAATATTTGTATACAATTAGCGGCTCAGGGCGAGATTGGGGCGGGCATACACCGAGTGGTGGTGGTACGAAGTCCAAGGGTAGCGTAGTCCGGGCAACAGGCGACCCTTATCAATGTTGAAATAGGTACGGTACGGACAATGTCACATTTATACGCCGAGAAGAGCATATTGACAGCGCCAATTAAAGTCAGACACCGAACTGACAGGGACAGGCAGTCAATTTGAATATTCTTTGATACTACTCGTCCCGAATGGAGTTCAGAGTGGAGACCGCCCCTCTCTAGCAGTCTCTCGTGCCCCATCCACGTATGGATAACCCTACTTTATCTGTTTTTTTCCATTTTTTTTCGTCTTTTTTTGGATACAGAGTACAGGAAACGGATGGCTCGTATTTTGAGAACTTTACATCGCTCGGCTGGAAACGTGAAAATCGTCGCATGTCAGCCACGCGTGCCGCCGAGGCACGTGCCGAGGCTAATCCCGAAAATGAACGTGATCCGCCGGCGCCTGAGGAGTCCATTGACCGCCAGGACGAGAAGGAGAAACTGTATGCGGAGGTCTTGCATACCATTGCAAATACGGTGGGCGCCCCAGCACCGGGCGGACAGGTAAGTGGATCACAGATAAATCAATATTGGTGGGCGGGGCGGGGGCTAGTTTCTCGGTGGTCGAAGGGGGGGGGGGGGGGGAGGACCAGCGTTGAATGAAATTATGATTTGGGTGCCGGAGAATTGGAGAAGTTATGCAAATAGTTACAAATTATACAAATTAAGGCAATTTCGGGGAGATAACCCGCCGCACACCCACACACGCACACACACACACGCACGAACATACACAGATACAGATAGACATACGTCTGAGCCTGAAGCAAGGATGCGATGCAAAATGATTGAAAGGCTTAATCGGGCACATTAGGGGTCTGCAAGACGTTTTGCAATTTGAATGATTAATGTCTGGGTTTGCCGTTGCCCCGAGGCCCAAGCCGACAACCCCACAACCCCAGAACCCCACACCCCCACCCCACATCTGGCTGGGAACCCAATTTCTTTTTACCGGCTCTCGAGCTTATGTTTCTGGGGGGAGGAGGGGTGGAAAATTCAATTAAAAATGTGCTACTTTTTCCTCCTCATTGATGATTGCCATTTGAAAAAGAATTTTCCAATATTTTCGCCATATTTCTCTCGCTATGGGCATCTGCGTTCCTCAACACGAGTTCATTTTTCAATTATCGTTTTTAATTTAAGAGTAAGAAAATTGTTAGACTCACCGCCCAGCCCCCCGCCCGCCCAGTGCACAACTAATGAAACTTGAGCTTGAGTCCCAGAGGGCGGGCCAGGGCGAAGACAGTCCAGGAGCAGGAGCAGGAGCAGGAGCAGGAGCTGGACTGCCGGGGAGTGGAGTGGCACGATGAGAAGCAAGGTTACGCCAGCATAATAAAAGTTTCCTCTAGTCGCAGTAGCGGAAAATACGCGTTCGTCCTGCTGTGATTGAGTTGAAACTGGTCAAATCTCGCGGGTCCCGCAAAGCGGATAGAGAGACGAGAGAAACATGGCCAGAGAGAAAGTCGGTGAAGAAAGTTATTGCCTTGCCGGGTCTCAATGGGGGACTGCACTCTCACTCTCTCTCAGTCTTTTCTGCCCCTTTCTCTGCTTTAGTTTGTTGGCCATTTTTGCATTTAATGGTAAATAATTACAAGTAAATGCGATTTGCTCGGCCATCTGAGGGTTAAACCTTTACTAATGGAAATTAATGAAAAGAAAAAAACATAAAATAAAAGTAATAACGACTGAGAGAGATAAAGAGTCTCCAGCAGAGGCACAATCTCGAAAGTTGCCAGCCCATAATCAGGCCAAAAGGATGGGAATGAAGAGAAGAATTAGTTACAATTATAACGAGCTATGAAGAACTTTCGTTCCGGTTAAGGTATCGAACTGGAAGATATACCAATTAGCAGAGAGTTCTTAAAACTTTCCTTCATCCATTGCCTTTATTCCTGAAGGGATTTTTCCACTGAAAAGCAATTTATGAATTGCCTTATTTAAATACGAATCAATTCCCCAAGTTACAGAAATCTACATCTAATCCAATTATTCGCTGTGACATATCAAATGCTGTCTGCTCATTATTCAAACTAAGGCCTCGGTGATATATTTCGAAAAGTGTGCCAAAAATACACAAAAATTTAATTGGATTTCGAAAATATTCACAACATAAGTCTGAAACTTGAACCACTCTCGATATCCAAGTCGAATTAATGGCCTCATAATGAAGTTTGCCCATAATTTCGACTGCAGGTCCAGGCAATCAAATTATAATAACACCCCCCATAGGGCACTAGTGGGGGAGGGGGGTGAGGGGGGAGATGTGATGAAAGCGTTACGCGAACCGTGATCGAAATCAAAAGTCGAGAGGCTAATAAATTCAACGAAAGATAAATCAATAGAGATGAGAGGGAAGAAACAGAAAGGACAAGAAAATCAAAAGAGAACAACGAGAAAAGCAAAAGCAAAAGAAAAAAATGTTTTGCCAGCCAATAAATGAAATTTCTTTTACGTTGGCACTTCGCAACGAAGAAAATATGCAAATTTGTTAAATTTTAATGATATTATAATTTTGTTTACTCCCAAATATTTACAAATAAATGACAATATAATTAAATTAAATGAGAATAAATTTACTCTCGTTCTTCTCCCTATGGCAACACGCGGCGTATACGTAATTTGGCTCACATGGAAAATCTGCTTCGTCTTTGGCTTGGCTTCCACTCTGTCTGCTCAATGGATGCTCGATGCTGGATGGTACACAGTTTGCACATTACAAGGATGAGATGTATCTGCATGCACAGCGCGCCTTTGGTGTCAATCCGGATCGTCATTATCGCCTGCTGCATGCCTCCGCCGAGGATAAACCAAAGATAATCGTACTCTCTGCGGTGGTAATCGAGGCTGATGGCCTGGAGGCGAAGGACGCCAATGGTAAGAGCCACTCCACTCGACACCTCGCACTCCTCTCCGATGTATCAATCTGTCTGTCTGCACATATATGTATGCTATATAAATCTACCAGTCCTCACTCTCTACCTCCTCTTGTGTTGTCGTGTGTAAATATTTTTAGTTTGTAAATTGATTTTGCGGCTGTTGCGGTAATTGCATTATGAAATTGTGCATGTGTGTGTGCCGTGGTGACCCGTGTGCCCCGTGTGCCCCGTGTGCCCCGTGTGCGTCTGTGCCTGTGCCTGGGCAAATCAAAAAGCCAAACGAGGCGTCCATAAACTGTGGCACCATGTGCGTTGACTATTTCCTTCAATTATAGTATATTTTCTTTGGTTTTCTTTCACATTTTTTTGGGTTTTTCTTGGCTCAAAGTAACAGTTTAGCTTATGCCCATTGCCATTGCCTGGTCTCGCATCTGTCTCTGGGTCCACAGCTCCCAGCGTCAGCGTCAGCGTCAGCGCCAGCTCCAATGTTCCTTCAATAAATTTGCAATTTAATGCTTCCCATTTTGTTCATTATGCTGGAGAGCAGAGCCCCAGAACCAGGAGCACGGGCTGAAGCCAGAGCTGGAGCTGGAGCTGGAGCGAGAGCTCCTCCTCCTTTTACCACAGCCACATCGAAGGCAACGCAATTTCGCATTTTAATGTGCTCAAGGATGTGTAAGGAATACGTTGAGTGCTCCCTCGTCTACTTCTACTTCTGTTTGAGCGTTTTTTTTCCTCCTGCCCAGCCCTAGTAGTGCACTGTTAGTGCCGTCTGCCATCTGCTAAATGTACTGATGACGGCTGCCGTCTTGCCAGAGAAGGAACACCAGCAGGCAGGCAGTGAGGCAGGCAGGCAGGCAGGAGCCAGCGGGTGGCAGGATACTCCAGGCCGGAGTGTGCTGTGCTGTGCTGTGGTGTGGAGTGGAGGGCACGCTTGTGGCCCTGGGCAGATGGCAAACAACTCGTTGCCAATGAAACGTGGCCGATGAGAGTGGGCAGGGTCGCCTTTGTTTGGGCCATTCTCGATTGGCAAATAAGCTGGCCAAAGCGAAGAATCGGGTGCTCGGCTCGGGCTCAGTTTTCATTAGCAGCCATTGATTCCGTTTGGCCTGGTCAGGCTTGAAAGCCAGCAACACAATTGCTCATTACAATGAGTGCTGCTCGATGTACAAATCACAAATCCGAATTCCAAATGAGCCATTTCTGTGGGATAATCGCTTTACGAGCGCCCTCCTCCCCCTCCCCCTCCACCTTTCACCCGAAACTTTCACTCAGTTTAAATGCCATGCCATGAAATAGTGTCCCACTGCGGCCATTCAGCGTCATGTTTTCCATTATCCCGCTCTTCATAAATAATCTTAATCTTGGCACTCGGCATCTGTTCTGCATTGATGGCCAATGCCCGATGGCCGATGCCCGATGGCCGGTGGCCGATGGCCGATGGCCCCCGTGCGTTAATCACGGCCACTCAATAATTGAGCGGCACTTTATGCAAATGAAATTTTAATCATACGCAATGTGTGAATGCCACCAGCTGACACCGTGCCCAGTCCTGGCTCCCCGGGGGGCAGCCCCATTAATTGGCCTTTAATGTCATTCGGGCGAGCACTTCATTAATGCTGCACCATTTCTCACTTTCCTTTCCTTTCTTTTGCTCTTCTATGCTCTCTCGCTTTTCCTGGCCATCACTTATTCCATTGAAACACTCCCTCTCTCTCTCTCGCTGCTTCTGTATCTCTCTGTATATCCAATTATTTATCGGCCCCGCAGGTTTCTCGGATCCGTACTGCATGCTGGGCATCCAGCCGGACGGTGACGGTTGTCCGCCCGTGTCGCCGCTGCCGCTGCCGCCGACACCGCGAGCCCTATCGGCCGACATGAGCGGTGGCTTTGACAACAGCGCCACGGATTCGCCGCCGCACCGAAAGCATAGCTTCCGGCTTAGCTTCAAGCGGCGGGAGGCGGGTCGACGGGAGCAGCGCGACTCACTGGGCGGCCCGGTGCCCGCCAAGCTCATCAAGGCGACCAGCATCAAGCCGCACACGCTGACCCCCAAATGGAATGAGAAGTTCAAATTGTAAGTGAATCAAATGGACAGGATTGGAGTCGAGTCGGGTCGAGTGGAGTGGAGTGGAGTGGAGCGGAGTGGGGACCATTCGAAATTGTTTGCCAAATCAAATGGAGGGGCACGGCACATTTAATGGTGGGGATTTGTTACGAATTATTCAATTACTGCCGCGCTCTTCCTGGACTTGGAAATACTTGAAATTTCATCTGAAAAAAGCAAAGTGGGTTTTCAGACTTCATTTACGCTCGACTGGTTGATAAATGTGTCCCACACTGGGTCGGAAAAGGCGGGAAAACAACCAGAAAAGATCTCTGTCGTATGCTAAACGATTCGAATCCCCCCAAGTACCGAACGTAATTTACGAGTTGTAAGCAATAACGAAAAGAAATCCATTTAAATTTGCCATCAAATTGAAACACAAATGCATGAGAAGGTTGCCCCATAAGAAATGCAATCAAATTTATGTTGCAATTGCAATAAAAACAGAGCAGAAACAGAGCAGGACAAGTCGAAGCTTAGATACACTCTAAAATAGTCTTCGAAGTCCTTCAGGGACTTTCTAGCGCCTTCATGAATGCCAAGCATTTCCCAGAATTCCCTGAAATGTCCAATTACGAATAATTGACCTTTTCATGGCCCTTTAGATATGAAATACAATACAATACAAATACAAAATACTTTACAGTACATTAAAGCAAATTACAGGGGTCCCCCTATTGAAATAGGAGTACTTTCCGAGAAATGTTTCTGCAGCAGAGCGTTTTCAATTTAAAAGCAAAATATAAATCCTGTAATAAATTAAATGGAGCAGCAAAGCTCAGGGCCATATTCCAAGAACGCCCATAAACACATGCTAACATTTGTAAAAGCCTTGAGAACACATACATAGACGAATGGAAGGCGGGAAGAATTTCCACCCACAAGCAGAGCTCAGAGTTCACGGTTCACACTTGAGACAATCGCCATCTTTTGTTTGTCGCCTGCAGTGACATAGATGACATCAACACGGACACCTTTCACCTGGACATCTGGGACCACGATGACGAAAGCTGCGTCCTGGACGCCGTCTCGCGACTGAACGAAGTTCGTGGCGTGCGCGGACTGGGGCGGTTCTTCAAGCAGGTCTGCCAGTCGGCGCGTCAGGGCTCCCAGGACGATTTCCTCGGCTCGGTGAACATAGCCATATCGGATATACCCTCCACCGGGCTGGATGCCTGGTTCAAGCTGGAGGCACGCAGCCACCGCAGCACCGTGCAGGGACGCATCCGTCTCAAGCTGTGGCTCTCGACACGCGACGATCGGGGCAATATCGCCGAGGAGAATCACGAGCACCAGATGCACAAGGTCGAACAGCTGCAGATGGTGTTCATGCAGCACGAGGTGACCACCCACGAGCCCTCGTGGACCTGGTGCGGGGACCTGCCGGGTCCGGCCCTAACCATACTCCATCAGTTGGCCGTGCAGGGAGATCTATCGGACCTGCACTGCGCCATGGCCAGGTGGGTTATCGAACGAAAAAAGGGTGGAGAGGCACCCCTTTCTAGCTATTTCTGTTCCTTTCAGATATGTGGCTGCGGCCAAGTTGAATCGATCGACACCATTGGACCCGAAGTTCCTGCACCGTCTGCTTGGCGATGTGGAGAAGCAGTGGAATCAGCCCAATCAGGAGGCCTTGAGTCGGGATCTGGAACAGTGGCTGGCCGAGGCGATGAATGGATTTGTGGAGCGTTCGCTGAACCAGATCCGGCGGCACAGGGACATCTTTCCGGCCCTGAATCCGCCATCGCTGATACGCCTGGAGTTCCTGCTGCGCTGCCTGGGACTGCTCGGCTCTATGCGGGCCTTTCGGGCCGTCTGCCCCTTCAACAAGGGCGTGCGCGGCGAGGTGGTGAATGCCCTGCGCAAGGGCTCCGTCATGTGGGGCCAGAATGTGCTCCGCGAGTCGCAATGCTTGCCCAATCCATTATCGAATTTCGTAACAACATTAACGGCCGACATCCAGCTGGGACAGACGTATTACCATGCCCTCTTCGACAAGTGAGTACTCGCAGATTCCAGAATCAGTTGCTTTAGTTCTCGGTTCCAGTTAGTTACAGCTCCCCCCCCGTCCCCCGGCCCCCCAGCATTGTATTAAGTATCCCAGACACGTGTCGGCCGTAAAAACAAGCTCAAAGGTATATCTGTCCTCCTTTGCTGACAGCCAGACACTCTACAAATAAAATTTTGAAAAAAAGCAGTTTAGGAAAACAAGCAGAGCAGCGACGGTCCACGCACTGCACTCTCCGTTCCGACCAGGGCTGGCCAGTGTTGACCCAATTGAATTGACGTCATTTCGATTTGAACTTATCCGCAATCGGCGCCCGGGGGCGAACCACTTTACAGTCGCTGCTCTCTAATCAGCTTGAGCATTTGTCAAATGCCCGACGACTCAAAGCTCATAAAGCTAACGAGCCTTAATGAGGGCCACAAAATGTTGTCATGACAGATGGCCCGTAGCGTAGCTGAGAGGGCTCTTAGCTCTCACCGAGGAATCGAATCCTCATGGCCAGGTTACAGATAGTTCCCTCAGGGAGCTCCTTTATCGCGAAAAGTTGTTAGAACCCCATAAATGAGGTAATATATTGATCAGCCCAACGATACGGATCACGTTGCACCATTAGGCGCTAGAGGAACAGCCCCTCATAACCGCTCCGCATTTCGAGATGCATAGTGGCGCATCTTTGGCCTTCCGGGGCGGACTAATCAGTCACATATTTGCCAGTTAGCGGGGCCATAAAAGAACCTTAATGAGGACATCAAGTGGCTTACACACATAAGCCTCAAATTAATTGCGCTGTCATAAAAATGCTCTCACGTTGCTGCCCCGAGCGGCAGACAGGAAAGGATAGAACAGGACAAGACAGGGTAGACGGACAGTGGGACAGCAGGCAGGCCGCACGGACAGCAGCAGCCTGACGAGGCATTTAACAAACGTCCGGGGGCTGTCACAGAAAGTGTTGAGTGTTGAGTGTTGAGTGTCGGGCGTTGAGTGTTGAGTGGAGAGGCATTAGCAAAAATTTAGTTAGAGCCAGAGCCCGTGCTAATTGCGGCTTCTGCTCGCTTTAAAACGAAAGCCCTGTAAGCCATCATTTGTCTGGGGCAGGAACTCCATCTCAACTGCATCGTCTTCCTCTCCCTGTTGTTCCACAGCACGAACGGGATACAGTACTTCAGCATTATCTACAAACAATACGATGCGATGGTGGGCGAGGAGCTGTACAGCCGCATGGCCGCCGGCCAGGTGCCAGGTGTGCGGATGAACCTGTCGCAGTATGCCGTGCTCGAGGGCGACGCGGAACCGGTGGATACGAAGCCGTTTGAATTGTTTCTGGCTCTGCAGGAGTTCTGTCATTTGAAACGACACCTGTCCGCCCAGCCGCAGCCGCCGGAGAAGCCGCTGGCCCTGAGCAACAGCCACGAATGGTTCATCCCCACATTTGAGCGCTGGATGATGGTGAGCAAGGCGAAGGCCCTGCAGCGGATCCGCGCAGCCATCCGCATGGACGCCATCTGTGAGGGCGAGCGCATAGTCAGGTACAGCAGCTCCTCGGTGGACACGGCCAGCACTCTGCTGAACATCAAGGAGTTCTGGAAGGTCATCAACTGGCCGGACGAGGACACGGCCATCATGCTGGAGTCTCAGCTCATCGACGTGGTCTGCTCGGCGGCCATGCACTACTGCGACCTCATCCACACCGCGCTGGCGGACAGCGGCTACTACGAGCAGCAGGGCCCGTTCCGCTGCTCGGACGACATGTGCGTGACCGTCAACAATGTGGAGTATGTGCGTCGCACCCTGGCCGAGTTCCGCTCGGATGAACAGCCCCTGGAGGAGTCGGCCGACAACCTCCTGGAGTCCAGCCTGACCCACATGGAAAACCGCACCGAGCGCATCCTCTCGAAGCTGGCTCCGCTCATGCAGATGTCGCTGCAGAAGGCGGTGTTCCATCTGGCCTGGTCGCCGGACTCCTTGCCGGCAAATCAGGCGATTGTGCCGCTGCTGGAGTACTTGGACTGTCACCTGGCGGCGCTCAACAGCGCCCTGCTCACCAAGAACTTCAACCGATCGCTGCGCTTCATCTGGAAGACGGTTCTGGGCGAGATGTCCCGCCAAATGGAGACGGGCGACGAGACGGACAAGCCCACGCACTTCCACAAACGTCTCTACGAGGCCCTGCAGCTGCTGGTGGACTTTTTTCACGCCGAGGGCCAGGGCCTGCTGCTGGAATGCCTGCACACGGACGACTTCTGGCGCATCGAGCAGCGGCTGCAGTTCCACAAGACGGACACGGATCGGCTCATAGACATGTTCTACATGAACCGCCTGCGAGAGCAGCTAATGGCCGTGAGTCCAAGTCCGTACGGATCGCTGGCCGTGCGGGCCTACTTCAATCACGATTCTCTGTGCGTGGAGGTCCTGCATGCCAGGGATGTGGTGCCACTGGATCCGAACGGGTTCAGTGATCCGTTTGTGGTCATTGAACTGCTGCCACGAAGGGTCTTCCTGCACTGCATGGAGCAGCAGACAAACGTCCACAAGGTGCGATTCCCCCCTCTTCCATCATAGGGATGATATTTTACTTGGATTTATATTTCCCTTAGCGCACGTTGAACCCCATCTTCGACGAGTGTTTTGAGTTCTCTGTCACCTTGGAGCAATGCCTCACCGATGGCGCCATGATATGCTTCACGGTCATGGATCACGATGTCCTTACGGCCAATGATTTCGGCGGGGAGGCCTACCTGGCCCTGGGCAATATACCCGGCGTGGAGGCCTACAGCACCAGTGTGGACAACTTTCATGGCCTAAAGCAGATCGAGCTGCCCCTCATGCAGCAGAAGGATAAATGTAAGTGTAATCTGTCCTTTCGATAACGAACTTCTTTCGATTCTATCATCCTTTCCATAAGGCAATCCCATTTTGCAAATCCTTGAGCTGCGCGTCAATGACAAACAGGCCCAGGACTTTGTGCGCAAGCAAAAGGCGCGATTTATCACTTGATTTTAAAGGACAGGACAGGACAGGAAAGGACAGAGCGAACCGTTTGTAAAACGTGTATTTGAGATCAAAGAGATCAAAAGTGTGGAAAGTATGGTGGATCGTGCAATGTAATTGCGTTGATGGCGATAAATTAACCAAAAAGCTACTCGTTAACTGTATCCAAACCAGCACTGTATGTATTGTACTTAATCTAGTTGTTTGACAAAGACTCCTCCTACCCCTACCCCTACCCCTCTCCCAATGGGGGAGTCCCCCGTTCTTCTCTTGTGTTTGTAAATGTTAGCGAAATATCGAAATCGAAATGAAATTCCAATGGTGCAAAAGTAACAAGTAAATGGGACATGAAATGCATTTCCTGCTCTACACAAAACGTTGCTTGAACAAAATTATAAGTAAACTAGGGACAACATATGTGTGTGTGTGTGTGTGTATGTAGGTGCTTAGTATGTATTGCTGAAGTTGTCACAATTAGGCAATCAATGAAAATTTATGAAAAGAAATCAAACAGAAACAGACACAGAAACAGACACAACCACAACACTAGAGATACCTACTCCAGCACCCAGATGCGTTTTGAAGACTTTTAACATGGACACAATGAAAGGGTTTCGGACTACCGGAACTTGGGATAGACGCCACACAAGATTTTTGGGTCAATTTAAACTATACGAAAAATATATCAATATACACACAATTTTAAAATAGGGGAAAACTCAACCTCCTTTCTACCATAAGCCAAGAAACAATCAAAAAAAAAAACTCCGAGCTTCTTTGAAACCCCGCCCCTCCCCCGTTAAAACACACGAACACTTACCAATACAAAGGAAACCTATTTATAATATAAATATATATATGTATATGTGTATATGTATGAAGATGTATGTGTATGATGTATACAATTTATATCACGCCCAAAGGACAGTGTAACTAAGTCTAAAGTATATTTGTAAACTATTTTCTGAGCACAGATTTTGTATAAATTTATTAGATACACACACGCTTGTCCCCTCCCCACCCTCACCCACCCCAACCCTCTCCTCCCCAGAGAGGCAGCCTTCAGCTCTTTTGCTTATACACAACTTAGGGCATTTCCCCACCCCCCCCCCAAAAACAGACTCCCCTCTACTGTAGAGCCCCATCCCGAATTGTTTTTTTACCCAGAAGAAGGAGCAGAAAAGGCCTCGCTTCTATTGTAAATTTTGTACTATATACAATGGTCTCTCTATAAAGAAGAAACTCAAACATATACCTCCTACACACAGCTATATGTACGAGTAGTATATTATGAATAATGGGGGGATTGTTGGAACTGTAACTCTTAACTTTAAACTGTAGCAAAAACTTTTTATACCTTGGCAAAGGCATCAGCGGTCGGGGCTGAGGACAATTTTAAGAGAAGGACTAAAAAAAAAACTAAGGCGAACCAGAAGATACGATGCGGAGATATGATGCACAACAAAAGAACAAAAGATAGGCAAAGAAATGAAAAGAAAAGAAAAGAAAAGAAAAGAAAAGAGAAGAAAATCCAAGTCAAATTACAAGCTATTTTTAATATTTACACTTAACTCCAGCGGGACGACGACGGGACACTTCATGAACGTTAATTACCAAACGAACAAAACGAGTATTATTGCATACAAATATAAATATTAATATACATATATCGATAAATAATTAATCAGTGAATATGCAACAAGTATTTAGTTAGTAAGATCAACTATTTTTTTTTGTTCTGTATCTTTGCACAGCCCTTATGCGAGTTCTGTAACTTTCTTCAGTTCGATTCTGTTCCGTACCGTTTTCAGTTGAGGTTTTTCTTTCAACTTCGGTTAGGTCTGCCATCGCCAAGACATCGACAAAGATCAGGAGACAAACATCGAAGTAGAGTCAACGCCGTACTGTGCGACTATAATTTCTAAATGCTAAATGTGTCTTTATCGAACTGCAACTACGATTTCCCTTTCCACTCGAGTATCTTCCAAAAGCACTTGTTATTTTGAACAGCTCTTCTCCGAACAGAACTACTCTGAACTCCCCCTGCTCTGAACTGCTGTCTGCTATCTTCCATGCTTTTTGTGCGGCTAAAAGAAATAGTTGAGTAAATAAATGAATAAATACGATTATATAGGCAAATATTTGCCGTACTAACCAACCCACAACCACTGTGTTGATATGTGTACCTATGATAATTTCCTATATCGAATCACACACAGAGCATATGCAAAATGCCGGCGCGCAAACAATAAGAATCTATCAAATGAAATCAATTAAATTATTCATGTTACTAGCACTAGCTAAAGAGTAAATACTACCAAAAAAGGGTAATTGGACACCGAAAAGAAGAGCACAAGTGTAAGCTGATATACGAAATGCGAACATTTGGCCCAACTGAAGAGACCAAACGCATTTCCCACAAACCAAACTAAACCAAACCAAACTAAACCAAACCAAACCAAAGGAAACGAAACCAAAGCAAAAACTGAACATACAATACGAATATGCAAGAAAAATCAAGGCCAAAACATACATGAGTGTATACCTACTACTATACCATACCTACATATTACTATAGTATATAATATACATATTTGAGTGTACAATTGTTGTGCTAGTTACAGAAAAAAAAACAAAAAAAAAAAACAAAAACAAATACCAAACAAAGGAACCTACAACAGAGCCCTCCTACATGCATATACATACAATGCAAATACATTCTGATTGCTATATATACAAGCAACCAGCAGAAAAAAAAAAAACCAATAACGGCTAACTACAAGGTATATTTTCGATTATATACGCTACAAATATTTATTTATTTCAAACTTTTACACAGAAACGAAACGAAAACCAAACCCATGCCATACACATCTAAACAGAAAACAGAAAACAGAATACTAGGTACATACAATATTTATAAACTGTTGTATTTTTTGTAAGCCAAGGCAGAACTACTAGACAAAAAACAAAAAAACACTCTACCGCCGAAACTTGATAAAGATATTTTGATGAGAAACAAGATAACAAGAACAGCAAGGATACGAGGATACGTATATTATATAGTTTTTTTAAATGTGAATACATTAATATTTATGTGTGTATTGCAAATACCAACAACGGGCCACAATTCAGGTTCCTAAGCTCCCCTCCGTTAAGAAATATCTGAATAGCAAAAGCGACAAAAGCGACACCTAACTAAACCTAAGTACATATGTTTGTTTGTATTTATGTAAATGCGTGTGTGTGTGTGTGTCAACAGCAACAGCATCTAACAGCTAACAGCTAATATCAAATCAAAAACCAATTGCGAGCAAGTCCCTACTTAATGTGAATCCAACAAAATGCTGCAGAAAGAAACATTATCAAATTCAATCAATAAATGTCAATGAATAATTAAACTGAAATTGTCGTTTACCAATTGGGGGTAGGGGGGTGGACCCTATAGAGGGTCAACTGGCCAGAGAAACCCTTTAAGTAGAATTCAATCAGCCTCTCCTTGAATAACTGCTGGCGTTGTTTCCCCTCCGATAAGCCGGAATCAATCCATACATATGTCCAACTTGGCATTAAGACAAATTGTCGTCTCGTACCCGGCAGGTTGCGGCAAGTTGCGGCAGGCAAAATGTTTATGGAATTGATTTGAGGCACCGCTACGATCTGGTATCTGGTATCTGTTATCTGGTGCACGTCAAAGGTCTGCCGCCTGGTCGGTTCCTGCCATCGTCACGGCTCCGTAAGTGGCACCGTGAAAGTGTGGAAAAAGCTTTTATCTAAATTAAATCCTGACACATGCCAAGTTCCGCCCACAGTTCCGCAGTTCCACAGCTCCGGCTTTTGTTGCCAGCCCGTTTACTGCATATGACGTACAAATGACTCGCGTTTTAAGGTTAAGGTTTTAAGGCGAGCGTCATGTTAAAGCGATCCTTTGAGACATGTCTGTGCGTGTTATATTTAAGAGATATCCTAAACTTTTTCACGACACACAACACTGGCAAAATCTGTGCAGTTTTATGCAACTTTTATGGCAGCGACGAGGACGCATAGCTTAAGCAAAACTTTTTACGACTTGCATTTCCAAAGAACAAACATCCAGACGTCAGGACATCAGGACATCAGGACATCGTCTCCATGCTGCAACTGATGTGTACCCGTAAGCAGTGAGCAAGAAGTAACGGGACTTTCAAGAAAAATACCAAAACGAGAAGAGTGACAAACTGAAGACAATAAAAAATACCAAGAGCGAACACGTCTGCGAGGGCTGGAAAGACAAGAGACCAGCTGCAAGCCCTGGCCGCCTTTCACTGCCGTTTGCCGCTTCTCTATGCATTTTTCGACCCACACAAAATTGTTTACCTCTTTTTGCGCCCGTCCCGCAGTTGACATTGAAGTAACATCCCCCACACCCCCCCACACACCCCCCACATACACACACACGAAAAGAGCAATTCAGATTCCGGTTATGCATATTTTTATGGCAGCATTTTTGCTGCATTTAAATACTGCACGAAAAGCAAACTGGACTGGCCAACAGGAAATGCAAAGTTCGCCATGTTATTTAAGCCTTTTTCTTTGAAAGGGGGCGAGCCGCGAACTGATTTGCATCCCAACTTTTATTTACATGAGTGCATTTTTTGAATGTACCCATAAACGCTGAGAGTGGCTCTCAGACCTCAAACCTCGGAAGCTGCCCCCTTCCGAGGGCATTAGTTGGACCATGGACTCTGTCTGGCCCCATTATCGATGCCACTCTTCCTAATGACATGATGCAAAATTGGGCCCCCCACTCCAGGACTCTTGACCCCCAGTTAGAGAGCTAACCAGCAGCAGTCGTTGCAGCAGTCACGTGCGACAGCTGGGGCCCAAAGTGGTGGAGGCTGACAGGCCATGAAGCCTAATGTAGTAAGCCTACCCCCCGCCCCCCCGTTGCGGCCCGCCCCCCGATGCTTGTGGACGGAGTGGCGTTGCACGTGTTGCAGAACTTTCGGTTAACGGTTATTAAATGCAGTTTTTGCAGTTTGACAACAAAATGCAGATCCCGAAAGTGCAAAGTGCAGATGGTGGAGACCGGCACCGGTCGGGGCCCCCACACAGAAAGAAAGAAAGACAAGGAGAGAACAGAGCCCCCACGGAACAGAGCGAGAGCGATGGGCCAGTGAGAGAGTAAGCAGAAGAGAGGAACCGGTTCTACTCAAAGCTCCGCTCCACTCGGGCTCCAGACCAGTCGCCACAGGTGCGCGAGGTGCTCCGAAGATCAGTTCAAGCTGAGATCGCGTCGCGTTTGCTTCGACCACGGCCTACGACTTGTACGGAGTGTGCATTGGAGAACCGATCTGTCCGATCGGTAAGCTGCCCGACCATACAGCCGCTGAGTTGTACACACGAAAATCGCGCAATAAATTCCACTATTTTTAGCATATTACGTGAGTGTCATTTGAATTTGTTGCGTGAAGTGTAGCCCCGGTCCGGGGGCAAAAGAACAAACAGAGTTATACCCAAATTTGTTCACCATTTGGCTAACTCTGTGGCTGCTTGTCTCTGTGTGTGTGTGTCTCTGTGTGTGTGTGTGTGTGTGTGTGCGAGTGTCTGTTGGCCAGCTCCAAAACCTGCTGCTATTATTAGCCTTAGCCAAGATTATGGGCGATTTCATTATGGCGCTGCAATTTGCTGTGCTGCCGCCAGTCCCAGTCCCAGTCCCAGCCCCAGCTCCAGCTCCAGTCCCAGAAAGAGTTTGGGCCGAGAAGATTTTAGAGTTTGAGTTTGGTTAGACGAGTTCCGAAGTCCATGGCGGGTCTGGGTCTGGCCAAGTCTTGGCCATTGTGTTGGGCCCCCGGTCCGAAATGCCTGTGCGAGAAGCTGCAACGCCTTTCATTCATTCATTCATGGCAGCGATTATATCATACACCACCTCTGTGTGTGCGAGTATGTAGGTACCACCAACGTGTTGGCTGGCATTTTGGCCAGAACCAGTAAAGGTTTTTGGCCCACACACTCGCACAGCCGCACCGCCGCACTCCGCACTGCCGCACACACCAACGCATTTGCATAGATAGAGACGACGTCATCGCCCATATTTATATCTATATTTATTTTAATATATGTCTCGACATTTTTCTGTGCTCTCTGCTTTTTGGCCTCTGTGCTCGGTGCAACACGGTTTTTTGTTTTTGTTTCTGTTTTTGTTTTCAAGTGAAGTGTAATGAAATGTGTTCAGCGGCAGCAGGGGCACACTAACAACCTGTCGCTGTGGCTGGCAAAAAGCGTTAACAATAAATAAGCGAAACAATAGCAACAGCAGCGACAGCAGCACCAGCAGCAACAACAACTCCAGTCGAACTGTATAACAATGAGGAGAGAAGGTAAGCCAGTTTTTGTTTTTTTTTTTTTTATAGAGAAATATATACGTACACATACATATATATATTGGGGGGTGTACATGTGTGTGCGACTGCGAGAGAGTACGTTCGTATACCTTAACTTGTTTATTTGCCATCAATTTGTTTTTGGCCTAAACTGAATTGCATTTTGAGCGTCTTTGGGCTTCCTCCACTCCACTCTTGGCCGATTTCCGCAATACATTGAACTGCCTGAACTGTCATCGCGTGGGCGACTCCATTGATTACGCACCCGTTGACCCTGAAAGAGTCAGCCACCGTTGGCCAGTCGGAGATTCGCCTTATACGAGCATGGGCACGATTCACTCTTTGTTTATGGCCCAGTTTGTTAGCCCCTGGCTCTCCCTGGCTCTCCCTGACTCTCCCTGGGCCTGCGATTATGTCATTCGTCGCATTAAGGGATCAACCTGAGATGGATCCGACCCTGGCAAGTCCAACGTTTTGATGGCAGATACCCAGTTCTGATGCAGCCGATAGTAAGATGGGTTCACACATGCGGAAGCATCTCTGCCTCAGATGCAAGCTATGATACCCCCCGTAAGGGTATACCATTCATATTTTTTGGTCATTTGCTGGCAGCTGCAATCTCACGGATCGCCTTATAAACCGCTGGAGCTGAAGCTGTAGCTGGACCTGTCAAAATGCCAATACCAAATAGATCAATAAGTGAAATTTAATAGCCTCAGAAATGGAAAGAGCCATATAATCTACTGCTTTCTCTTTTGCTTTGAATGACAAAAGGAAAATCCAAGAAAAAACATAGTTTGACGCAAGCCCTTACCTAACAAATCGAGCAGAAGATATTATCATATGCTAGACGCCTGCACAATGAAAAGCATTTCCCAAATAGTTTATCTCCGGCTGCAGCGCAGCTCCCATGGTTAGGGGCCCCATAGTTAGGGCCGAGACCCACTGTGCATAACAGAACTTGCTGTTGGTTGTTGCTGGTTTGGTTATTTTCCTCAGCTCTGCCGTTGTGACGACTAGTATTATTTTGTTCGTGTCTTAGCCGCTGGCCATGTTTATGGTTAAGAGCCAGCCATGCTTAGCACGCTTACCATCCAATAAAAGTTGCACAGAGACGGGCAACGGCAACGGCAACAGAAACGGCAACGGCAACAGCAACAGCAACAGCAACATCTAGAAATTCAAAACCAACGCCAGGGGCCAAGTGTCCCTCTCTGTTTTTCTTTATTTAATTTTATTTTTACTTCTGCCTGATGACAATCTTTTGATAATAATGATAATTTTTTGTGTCTTTTCGGGTCAACTCTAATGTTTTACTCGTTGTTGTTGTGCTTGTTGTTGTATTCGTGATTGTTCCCCGAGTGCGGTAACAATTAGAGATATATGTATGTAGGTATACTCGCAGATGTGCCGATGTACAACTTTTTGCAATAGCTTACCCGTAGTATGGGGCATGACCATGATTCACGAGATGCAGCGAAAGTTATGCAATACTCCTGTTGCCATTGCGGTTAATCGAAGACAGGTTTTCTTCATTTTTTTTTCGTTTTTTCCGTTTTTCCGTTTTTAAACAGCCAATTTGCAGCTGTACAAGATGCGTATGCGTGTTGGCCCCATCGAAAGGAGGCAATCGTTTGGCTGGCAGCCAGCCCACAGCAACTAAAATGATACCTGCCCGAGTGTGTATGCAAATGCTCAACGACCATCAAAAAACACAAATCAATCAGTGCTAATCACCACTGGCCAGAGTCGGTTATATAAAGTTATATTGAGTTAAATAATTCCCTCTGCAGTCTTCGGCCCGGGGGCTTGTGCAATCTTCCTGAGTTTTGTTTGCGTGTGAATCTGAATCCGACAGACAGACAGCAGAAATCAAACAAGAAAGAAGCCAACCGAGATTACATGCTGTACATACTCGTATGTATGATTATCATCACCATACCATGCCATGCCATACCATGCCATATGTTGGATGTTAGATATTAGATTTGCTGCAACTTTCATTTGACATTTGAGAGGGTGCTCTGACTGTCTGGCTGTCTGGCTGTCAGTGCCAGAGTCTGCCTCCAATTGAAATCTTCAAAGACGATGATGATGATGATGATGATGATGATGATGATGATGGTGATGACATCATCATATGTAATTAATGCCTCGTGTCGGTTGCATTGCACACTCATTGCGTGCAAATTATATGTACAAAAAAATCTCTGACATTCCATGGCATGCAGTCCGGGCTGTATAAATCATTGGATCGAACCACAGATCGATGCTAAGCTGAATGCTTATTGAATCAGTGATCAGTGATCAGTGAAACAGGTTTTGCGAATGATTGCAAAAAACCTGAGCAAAGAGTCGAAATTCGTTGAAGATATTCAGGCCTCTAAAGACTCGATTCAACAGAACAATATCCAAGGGAAATGTAAATAATTAAACAATTATACATGTACAATGTTTGTACCGTTGAGTTGTTACCCAAAAGGATTGGGCTCTTTGAGTGGTCCACAAAAGTGGCTTTTTGCCCCAACGATGCTGGTATTTTTGCCAGACTTAAGTTGAGCTCTATTCGCAGATGCATGTTTACTCAGACATGTAGCCCATGCCCCCCATAGAGAAAAACAAAGACCGTAACGAAATCTTATAAATAACCCAAACACATTTCTGTATTTCGATTTCTGCTGCTCCAGCAGAGGAAACAATTAGTAATAAGCAAACAATAAGCAAGACTCTTCATACTATATATGCACACAAGCTCTTTATTGCTCAAATCATAATTCAATGGAGCCACCCCCCAGCCCCCAAGAGCAGAACGGGAGAGGGCAGAGGACAGAGGACAGGGAACAGAGGAACGGTAGCCAGGTCTTATGCCAGAGTTATGGCAACGTCCTCTGTTTCAACATCTAATTGAATGAACAGCATTTGATGGAATGTGCCCGAAAACAGAAAAGCAATCAGGAAAAAAACAAAACTTGTTGAAAACACACAGTTTTTGGCTTCTCGAGTGCCTTAAGCCGTAACAATGCCACACAGCCACTGATATTCTGTGAGCCACACTTGACATTAAAGTATTTTCCCCCGCCCCCGCCCCCTTAGCCGGAGCCGGAGCCAGAGTCTACGCCCACAGAGATCTTCCACGTTACCAGCCACGAAATTATATATGTATGCCGGGCAAAAGGCAAATATTATACAATCATCAGGGGGCTATAACAACAATAATAACTTTGGCAAATTATAAAAGGCAACACCCCTCTCATAAATCGCTGTCTGCCGCCGCAAGACCTTGAAGGCACAAAACAACAAAAACTACGAAAAACTACAGCCGACAAACAAAAGCCAAAAAACTCTCAAGATTGTGTTTGATTTTTAGCGGACATTCGTTAGGTTCAACATAAATAGTTTGTACGTTTGTAGTTTTTATGGATGGCGAGATCTTCTTCAGCGACGAGTCATCAACAATTCACATGAATCCAATTTTACTTGGAGATGTCATCGAGCTCCAAGCTGGGGGGAAGTCGAATACGAGTGTATTATAAAAGATTGGAATTTCCTTCCTTGAAACAATGGATTGCCAAAGTAGGCAAGAACCCCCCCCCTCTGCCGCCTAACGAGGCTGCAATATTAATTAATCTCTATCCGTGTCCCCGGCGCATTAGAATACTGGTATCAGGCACCGCGACTGGGCATTCTCGGCATCGTCGTCAGATCGGATCGGATCGGATCGGATCAGATCCGATCGGAGCAGCTGCAGCCGCCTAGCGTGGGAAACAAATCGAAACGCAACGCAGCCGCCGGTCTCTGTCTATCGGTGGAAGCTGGCCCAGGCTCCATCGAATGGACCCCGGGATGTTAATGGGGGATGTGGATGTGGATGTGGATGTGGAGAGCCATGATCTGGTCTGCATGCATATACTCGTACATATGCGACTCATGTGTCGATTGCTGGGGACTGGGAATGGGAATTGGCTTATTATTTGATATTTAAGGTTTGCATTTTTCTTTTGCTGTTTGCTATTTGCTATTGGCTTTTTGCTAGTTTTTTTTTTTTGCTGCCAAGTGGGCAAGTGTACTTACGGATATTGTCAACACGTTTTGTTGGCCAGTTGTGCAATCGAAATGAATGCAAAGAAATACTTGAACGTGTGGTTGTTCGTTGCTTTGTTTGTTGGTTATTTGATCTCCAGATCAATAGATTACAACCGCAGACTTTAACTTTATGGGGTCGTATAGATAGTCGCTCTCTAAGTGGGGCTGGCTGCATTTGATGGCTCCACGAGCCACTTGTGCAGTTATTTGAACTATTAATGAAACCGAAATAAACATAAACCCACCGCTAGTGCGGCTCAGACCGTGGCCGAAAAAAAGAAAAGAAACCCAGAAACGGAGGCACAGGCAGAGGCAGAAAAACAAAAGTTGTAACGGTATTTATGTTGCAAAGTATCCCTTCCCGTGGCAGCCACAGCCGCAGTCTGTCTGCCCCATAAATATGCCGCTGCCACCGCCGCTGACTGCGAACAGGTTTAACCCCAGAGCTCCAGCTCCAGCCCCAGCTCCAGCACTAACCCACTCCACGGCTCACAGAATATTTATTATGCGCATTGTTTCGGGTGCCATTTAGACCGTGCGCCACAGATACGAATCCACGCGGACTCGAGAACGCGGCACTAGGAACCAGCAGCGCCTTGCCTCGCCTCGCCTCGCCTTGCCTTGCCTTGCCACGAGTTCGAGTACTTACAGTTACAATTGAAGTTACTGAATAAGTGGAAACACCTGACGATCTGTATCGGTTCTGCTTAGAGAGCAACTTAATGCGCCACAAACAGCAGCAGCAGCAGCAGAGGCAGCGGCTGGGGCTGGGGCTGGGGGCTGGGGCTGGGGGCTGGGACAGCATGCATACATAGATGGCTTGTGTCTGTCTAAACAGATCCATTATACGAGCATTGTGCCTCTAATGTATAGCACCCCGTTGGTAAAGACTTCGCTCGAAACCCATTTGGCGT